ATCCTTCAAAACGTTGTTCATTATCAATGAATGCATTAAATCAACCAATTTACATAGATTGTACAACAGACAGATTAAAAAAAACATTTAGTGTTGGACATCATTGTATAAAGAAGACATTAACTTTTCATTCGCAACAATCGTTATATGATAATTATCCAGAACAAATTTGGATAAAACGTAGTTTATCCAATGGTACTATTGAGAAACATTTTGATCGAGAAAACTCATTTTTATGGAAACAAATAAATGATGTTACTGTATGAATCTTTTGTTTTCTTTTTTTTTTTGAAGTTAAAAAAAAAATAAATGAATCTTATCAAATTTTATTCGAACATATTTACACGTTATTCTATTCTCTATGTCCGTTCGATCTAGATTGTTATCATGGCTCATTACACAAGTTAAAAGAAAAAATTTTCACATGCCACTTCTGTTACAATTTTTCAAACAACTAATCGGCTAAAATTACAGAAGCGTTATCAATATGATAATAGGCATGAATCAGAATTTCTCGAATTTTATTGCTTAGTTTTTTTTTAAACACAAAATATGTTAAATATTTTACTAACAGAGTTCGATATTGATCAAGTTTTTCATGAGTAGATTCCACTAAATCAATTTTTTATAATGACTACGAGTAGGTTTCAACGAAAACGGTCTTATCTTTTTCGAGTTAATTCAAACATAACATCTACTTAGAAATCAAACATGTTGAGAAAGACTTGTTCGTTTTTGTTGAAAATTTTTAGGATTAGTTAATGAATGTCGAGAAACTAAACTTCAAGTCAAAACTCTTTGCTTAAAGTTTTTCTGAAATCTTTTGCTCTTAGTAAAAATTTCATGAAAAAGGTTAGAACTCTTCAGCAGTAGATCATAGTTTCGAATCTTTCCAAGTTTTTCTTAATACCGAAAGCAGTATCTAGCAGTTGAGTATGTACTCCCATTATTAATTCTTCAACAAAAATGAAAATAAGCTGATGAAGAAGAGTTGAACAACCATCTATTCTTTTACTATTATATTAAGTACCTAGCTCAAATCCAGTATAACCAATAGGGTTTTCTTTTACCAAGATTTCATCATTGAACTATGATGGCAAGGCTTCTAAAAAATTCAGACACGATAATTTACAAGTCCCAGAAGACTTTGTACCATCTTCTCTACGGTCGTCTCATAAAAATTTAACCGAATCACAACAATCGCAAATAGCACGTTTGTTTTGATAACATTTGACTACTTTTCATCATGTTCTCTTTAAAATGGCACTGTTTATAAATAGTTTCGACACCTTAAAACTATACTGTCCGGTTTTTTTTTAGAAATCTTGCCATTACAGTTTTATAGAAAACTTTAAATTATTATTATCATCGAATGGATTTAACATGTCGATGAAAAAAATCTCCTCTAAAATTCACAAGCAAGTGTTCAGAAAATATTCTTTTGTCATGCTCATCATCTGTTTCATTGTTTTTTCATTATATTTGAAATGTTCTCGGCTCGATAAAAATCATATTCCCATGAGATAAATCAAGTAATAAAAAAAAAAATCTTGATTGAACATAAATATAACCGTCATAATGCGTGATAATCAGTGATATTGATCGTTTCTCAGCATGGGTAAAAAAAACCATCCTCCCCCCCCTCTATTCTCATTATCACATATGAGTAACTTAAAAGAAAAATATCAAATGTGAACTTTATTGAAGGTCATCATGTTCAATTAGAAGAAATTTTTTTTCTCTCTCTCTCTCTCTTTCTGTTGTTGCTATTAAATCAACGATTGGTTCGAAAGAGAAGAACAAGCAGGTGTTGTTTTCTTCTTCATTCTCTCATTTAGATTTGAATCAAATAGAAGGATAGAACATTTGATTAGAATATATTAATATACATATATATTATCCATGATGTTTTCTAATATGAATATTATCATTTAAAATGATGGATCAATCGACAACAATTATGAAACTTTTTCGAACACTTCAATTTCGTAAACATGTTAAAGGTAAATATCAAACGTTATTGTTCAATTTAGAAAAAAAAAACCAACTTTGATAATTGTTCTTAAATGATTTTTATTCCTTAGGGTATATTATACAATAGATTGAAAAAGAGAACTCTTTTTTTTTTTTGTTTTAAAATATAAGAATCAATTTTTCTTTGAATTTCTCATATAAAAATATACAGATGAGATTCAATACATAACATGTAATTTTATTCATTCGTTTTTCATCGCCTAAAGCATATCCTGCTGTGAGTATAGAAATGTATTCTATCTGATATTTATTCATTCATTCATATAAAATAATGTGGACTGGTTGCAACATTCTTAGTGAGTTGAAATGTTTTGATAATCATTAAATATTCTTGTTGTTGTTATTCACAAAGAAAACTCGTTCTAATCACATATTCATATGTAGATATGCAGTCTTTTGTAAACATAAACATCTGTTTCATGAAAAACAAAAGAGAACGGATGAATGCGGAAATAAAGAAAAAAAAAAAAAAGAGAATTTAAATATAAAAGAGAGGATATTTAAACAGTTTTTCAAGAGGACACTTTTATTTGAAAATGATTGAACTCAGCAGTTAGTCATGCATTAATGTCAATCGTTTGATCTTTTTTTATTTTTTTATTTTTTGTTTCATCTAGAACTTACAAGCGCATGTAAACGGATCAATAAAGATGCTTGTTATGAATTTGTAACTTATCGTCATGCAATTCCGGACACATTAACAACACAGAAAAAATCAACGACATTTAATAAATTAGTATGATTTAATGAATTATATAAATTATATCTAATTACTTATTTTTAGCGTTCAAAAATTTATAATTATAAACAAAGAAGTAAAAGTACATGTCGTTTATCAACTCGTATAAGACCAAAAACAGAATGTTCGTCATCATCAACAACAGCAACAATAGCAGCTATTGATAATAGTGAACAATCATTTGAACATTTGGCACATGCTACATCAACATCACCAGCTAATTTATCTATGATTGTAAAACAATCATATAAACCTTTACATGCTAAATCAACACAATTTAATAAGAATACAATTGCTGTAACGAAAGGTATATTGCCACTTAATTCTATTTGAACAATTCTTACGATTGTTTGATTAAGAATTTTTTTTTTTCTTATATAATTGAACTACCACTGTTTAATTGCTTTCGTTTTCATTTTGACACCTATATTTCCGTTTCATTTCTTAAGATGAACAATACGATGTAACAATCATCGTTTAAGTCAATATTTTTTTATTATTATAAATCTTTGTCTATAGACAGGTAGAAGACTAAGCCGATAATCAAAGACAGTTAGACATATAAGCGTTATATTGATTTTATCCACCTTGAATATTTCTTTTGCTTGACTATATAATTGGAAGCAAATAGAATTGTATTTGATTTCATTTCAATGTCTAGACATTTGTCATACAAAAAAATACATGTAGAAAACATAAATGTGTTAAATTTTATTTTATTTTTTTTTAAATATTGTTGATAGATAATACTTTGAGATATTGTGTCAATATGACTAGAATATAAAGCCTATGGGGTTTTAGTCGTCTGAAGAGTGAAGAGTATGTATGGTTCACTAATCACCAAATACAAAAAAAAAAATACGGAAAAAATTATCACTTATCTTCAGGATGACTATTCAGTTCCGATTAGAAAATTTTATTGAGAATATCAAAGTATGGTTCAAGTTCAGGTTTAATAATTTCAGACCCGATAGCCTGTAATGGAAAAACACAAGGAAGAAATATCTGAGATATTAATGTCAATGGCTTGAGTATACAGGCATAGTTATAGAAATTAAAAGACCTGATATGGTATTATTCAGAGATCGTGTGACTTGATATTCATTGTTTTTGAACCCGCTGATAATTAATCATCATTGATGTCTTATGACAGGTGACATTTTCGGCATCACTATTCTATTCTATCTGATCATGCAATTATTGAGCAGCACCTACATTTTATTTCTATTTGAAATAGATTTTATCCTTAACATGTTTCCCGTTTTTACTAGGATTTTATTCAGATTTTCTCTTTCCGACAGAGATTTATAGTGGAAGAAAGGGCACCGAATCCGCAATACAAAACACTATATCTTATATTGAAATACTTGTTTTGATAATAAATAAATAAATAAAATTTAATTTATGTTAAGGTACATCTGTCAAAGCTCTATATTCTATATCAAATTGGGTATTTATTGAAATTATTGAAACAGGTCAAACTGGTTTTGTACCTATTTATTGTTTACGTTTATCAGATTCATCATTAGAATCTTCTTCACAAAATAACTTAAGTTTATTAAATGTAAGCATTTATGAAAAACCTCATTCTATATCAACACCAACTCAACCTGGTCGATTTATTTCATCTATTGGACCATGCCATTTTAATATTGAACAAACATCTCTAACTTGTTCACGTATAAATAAATCTGGAACATATACGCGTCAAAATAAAGATCAATCAAATTTATCTCGACAAATCTCAAATATATCTCTTCATGCTTATGATCATGATGCATATGGAACACTTAATTTAACACCATGTAAAAGTTTATCATTTAGTGTATTAGATAGTGAACCAATTATATATCATTCAAATAATCGTTTACGTGTTATGGAAAATTATCAACGAAAATTTGTCGGTGATATTAGTGTACTGGAATCAGAAGTTGTTACACTTGTTCATACAACTCAAATAGATAATGATTGGCGTTTTATTCGACGTGGTGATGGACGTCAAGGTTATATACCAAAACATATTGTTGTACCTGATAAAAGTTTAAATTAAAAATAATTGTGTATTGTATTTTTGTTTTTTGTATGCGTGAGGTTTTATTTCTCGAAAAGAAAAGTATTGAAAAAAAACAAACAAACAAACAAAAAAAAAAGAATGAATTTTTGTTTTCGTGTTAAACCGATTTGATATTAAACAAAATGATAAAAAAAGAAATATTCATATTGATTTCTATGTTGATGATGATGAACGTCCAAGCAATTCATCACTAACATCAACAATGTGTATTGCATATTGATTAAATGAAGATGATGATGTTTTACTAGTTTTTAATTTTAACATTTCTTCACGAAGTTTAGCTAATAATGCATGATTTGGTTCATTCTTTTTGGCACATCGTACTATATCAGCTAATTCATCATCAACACGAACACGTTTATATGTATCAGCATTTTTTTCATATAAACGAATTAATGAACCATATGTATGTAAATGTGGATGAAGTTTTTTTAATAACTTTTGTGCAGCTAAAATAGAAAATATTTCGTATTAAAATGTAATTTTTTCGACAGGAAAATAATTTGTTTTTGAATAAGGATACAATGTGTAAAAAAATTAATATTTCCTACTAAGAATATTTGTAACTTGAAAAGTAATGATATATAATTTTATTATCAGATATTATATCGTTTGTTATTCAAAGAAAAATTTTATTTTCATCAGAAAATTAATAATCAGTATTTTATTCAAGCTTTCTCTTTCACACAGCCGATTCAAAACTCCGGAAAGGGGTACATCTATTTGTGGAAACATAGACACATAATCACAAACTCCAGGAGAACCTATCTGATGTTCGGTAGGACGTCATCCTCACTCTAAATAAGAAGCTATTAGTGACTATTAGAGATGTGCATGAGAAGCTTTTCTCATAGTCTATATCCTGACTGACGATGAAAGACTTCTAACTGATTAATTGCTATGAAGTCCTAATCTATCTGCATCATGCAGACTTTAATTAGCTCTGAATATCCTGGAAAAGGAGTTCAGGTCCTTGATTTATAGTTACTGAGATACTGCACGTTCATGGCCTTTTTTTTTAAAGTCAATATCATGATTATCTTCAAGCACATGGGAAAAATTCGTTTTCAAATTTCGACTTGAAATTTTGCACAGAGACAGTTCTTAATCAGTGTAGTATATTATGAAAGTGTCTGGTCTTTTGATATACTTCTTTTCTAAAATAAGAACATCAAATTTATCGATGTATATGAACGGTGTAAAAGACAAGCTTTTATCATAGCTACAAACATAAGATAGAAACAATGAAAATATCTAAAAATTTCAAAGTCAACTATTTTCTGTGATGCTAGTCTCGATGAAAAGTTTCAAGTCGAAATTTGAAAATGATTTTTTCTTGTGTTCCTAAGAAAGATTGGCATGTACTAAAAAGATATCATAAAAATACACTATTTTGGTAGCAACAAACTAAAAGTCCAAACTCTTTTTAATGTATTCATAGTTGATTAAGATCTATATCAAGCATATAGCCTCGAATCAAAAGTGACTAATTAGTTGGATAATTCCCTCATGAGAAAAATTGCCTAATCATTACCTTACCAACAATGGAATCGGTCTAACACCCAGGTAGACAACGGACTAACGAGGTGTTACATGATTACATCTATAGATAGTGATATTTGCCATGATCGATTTTTAACATATTTACATTAGATATCGTTTATGAGATACTAAGAGCAAAAAAATGAATAAGATAAATCGAAACCGTTCTATCTCTGTACTCTACCGTACTATAGAAACCACTACTTTTATTGTATTCTACCCTACAGGGTAAAGTAGCTCTGTATATCTCTCTTGTGATCATCACAAAAGAATGTGATATTGTTTAAGTATTTATCTGATATTGTCTTTACAATCATTACTTTCATAACTTATACACACAAAACAAGATGTTCAATATTAGTGTAAGATTTCTCATATTGATTTTTAGATTTTATTTAATAATAGAATATATTATACCTAAATTTTTTGCATGAGCTTTATCTTTTGCTTGTGCTTCTTCTCTATGTTCATTACCAATTTCTAATGTTATATGTGTAAACATAGGTTTTTTTGTCATTATTTCTTTAATATCTGATTCACTGCGTGTTAATACATTATATGTTAAACTTTTTTCAAGCATTTGATATGGTGTTGGCTTTCCAAGTGTAATACAAACATCATAAATATTTGCATCTGATATACTATATTCATCCAGTAATGAACTACTAACTTGTTCTTGTTCATTTAAATCATTATTATTATTAGTATTATTATTATTATGATTATTATTTACACTTGAAGATGATTCATCCTCGTCAATACAACCTTCTTCATCCATAGATTTATCTTCTATAATTGATTCTTTACTTCCTATTTGTTGTTGTTGCTGTTGTTGTTGTTGTTGTTGTTGTTCTTGTAATTTTTTATATTGTGGTATAAGAATAATTAATGATTCTTCTGTTGCATTTAATTTAGCTGTACGTTTATTTCTACCAATACCTGTACCATAAACATTATCACCAACAAGTACACGACAGCCAAATGGTGAATTTGATACATCTGTTGTAAACCAATCATAACGAACAGATAATTTTAAACGTTTAAGTGCATATTCTTGTAAAAGTGCAATTGGACTTTTACTTGGATATAAATCAATAGTTACTTTTTTATTATTTAAATTTGATGATTCTGATGCTGATTTTGTTATTGGTTTAATTGATGGTTTTGTTGTTTTAACTGTAGCTGATACAACAACAGATTGATCATTTGATGATAATGGTTGAAGTTCAATAATTTGTGTATCAGCTGGTATATTCATTTCACGACGTTTCATTTGTGCTTGACGAATATATTTCCATTTATCACTAAGTGCTGCAAAAAATTTAAATTCACGTTGTTCAAATGCAAATCGACGTTGACAATACGAACGTAATTCATCGGATGATAATGTACTATAACGAAGTGTATCATCTAATGTTGAATTAGTTAAAATTTGTAATGATACAGGTAATTGTTGTGGTTTTGTTGGACGTGTTGATGAGATTTCTGTTGGAATATTATTTATTGGTTCGGATATTATTCGTGTTGATGATGAGGATGGAGATTCTTCAAGATTTGTCATTGTTGATGCATGAGGAGAAGATATTTCACCTTCTTCAACATCATCTTCATCACTATGTTTTCGTTTTCTACTTGATGTTGAATTTGAATTATCTTGTCGTTCTTGTTTAAATGGACATTTTGATTCATCATTGATAGATGATAAGTCTTCATTTTCATCGAGTTCTTGTTGTAATCGTTTCATATATAAACAAGGTATTGATGTAACCGGTATTAAATGATGACGAACACTTACAGAACCAAGAAAATATGGACGTGATAATGTTACAACACGTGTTTGTTTATGAAAATATATTGGAAATCCACTTGTATGAAATACTTCACACCATCCATCTGGTAGACTATGTTTATGTTTATCTTTCCAATAACCTTTAACTGTCCATCGATGATAAATTTTTGGTTGTCCTGTTGATGATTGTTGAGTTTGAGATGTATCCGTAGATTTATCCATGAGAGTTTCGTCCATGGAATCTTCTAAATCGTCACCTTCCATTCTACAATAAAAAGAAAAAAAAAATTTATGAAAAATGAATCAATTTCATTGCACAAGTTTTCTTGTTTTTTTATAAATCAGAAAAAAAAACAATTTTAATGAAAAATACAAAAAAAAGGAAATTTTTTATTTTTTGTTATTTCCACAATCGCCCGTACAAGCACTCGTTGTTTTTGTTTCACATTCGGGATTTGTCATTGTTTTTTGTTGCTTTTTTTCCCATTCATCAGGTGTATAAGTCTTTTGGGTTAATGCATGAATTTCAGTCATTTCATTTTTTAATAAATCATTTACCAATCTATAAACATAAAGAATAAGAAAAAAAAAATGATTGAATTGTAAAATATTTTAAAATTTACATACCGTTGTCTTGCAAGTAATGGTTTACCTTCGAATTTTTTTGAGACAATTGTTGTGTCAAATTTTAAACCACAACCACCTGAAAAATCTTCAACGTGCTAAATATAGAGATAATAATAGATTTTTAGTTTGATATGAATTAAATAAGTATACGAAGAACAAATAAAGATATTAAATTTATTAATAAACATCTAAGCATTATGCAAAAAAGATTCGACAAGACAAAGATACTAATAAATATTACGAGTAGTTACTCAGGTTACATAGCCTTTGCTTGAAAAAGCAAAGACACACAATACGTGATATAATAATCACGAGTTTCGGAAGGACCAACCCCGATGTTCAGATAAATGTCTCTCACTTGGTCTTCATGCTAGATCAAATATTCTTTTAGAAAATTGAGAGCAATGAGATGTTTACTTAAATAAGACAAAGAATACGCTTTCTCATGTACAATATACCGGTTTTATAAGCCTATCGAGTGTCTGTTTGTATAAACGATTTAGATATTCAGTATCGATGATTGATCTTTCTAAATTCTAATTGCGAAATAATTTGGTTCTCATTCTAATTCTTTACACTTCAATATAAGTATATACGAGAGTTGGAATCGATATAAAAACTATTTTAGATCAGTGACTCCTGTAGAGTGAGAACAGAGGACAGCGGTCTTTCGAGCACCAGTTTACCATCTCGGAATTTCAAATTGCCTCTTCGAAAGGAAAAATTTTAGATAAAACACTGTTTTAGATCGGTGACAACTGACAGGTTTGTTCGATTATCTTCCTTTTTATACTCACGTTTTTACAAGTTTCCAAGATGGAATATTATATTATAGTAGTTTATATCTGTTAGGTTTCTCAAAGATGAATATGTAGTGATTCTCTGTCTAGCACGAAAAAAGAAGCCATTTCATTCGATAACTGATTGCTAAATTCCAAATCATGAAAATTTTCAACTCAGATTTCAGCGTACCAAATTAACTTCGGCTTACAATTTGAGGAACCTAAATCGATTTCTTCTCTGATATACACATTCATATCTCTTTTTCTATAGATACATTATTTATGGAAAGCTAGCCGTTGAATAATCGCCTATTATGAGTAATGCAGCATAATACTATAATCAGTATCATAGAACCGCAGTATTAATTCATCGAAATTTTTCCAGTAATCTTGTTCGGATTCGTTTCAAATTAGATCAACTTCCAAGCAAATACTCTCATGATTATCTGATCGGTCATACTTAAAACATGAGAAACAAGTATATAGTACCAAATGTTTTAACGCTCTTTTTCAAGTAATTGTCCTCTATGTTTTATTTATCAGCATACTTCAAATTCTTTTTTTTTTGTATCAAATACTAAAAACAATATTAACTTGTTTTGAACAAAGTAATTTACGTTTTTGCTTACCAAATAAATTGGTTCGAATTCATCTCGTAATTTCTTTTCAATACTATCTTTATTAATCTCCATTATATCTGAAATGTATAAATTAAAATTCATTGCAAAAATTTCTTATGTATTTTAAAAAAAAATGAATAGTAGAGATATAAAAAAAATGCATCGATATATGTTAATCTTTTATCACAAAATTCAACAGAAACACTCAGATTAATAACTACAACAGAATATATGCTGAAGTATTGCGTTATTAATACATCATTTAGATCCGTTTTTACATTTGTTAAAAAAAAAAAAGAAAAACAATAAATCGAAAAAACCATTTTTTAAAAAAGAAATCTTCTATGATAAATTTTATTATAAACGAACCACGCCAGAAATTCGTTTATAATCAATTTACCATAATTCACCGTCGGTATCTTTTTCTGGTACTTCAATTATTCTTGGTTTATCAATAATTTTTGCTGTTCGATCACCTTTTTCAACTACACCAATAATCCATGCTTGATAACCTTCTTGTTCTTGAATATCTTTACAATAAGCAGCTGCTTGGTCATGTGGTAAAACAACAAGTAAACCACCTGATGTTTCAGCACTTTTACCTTGTAACAAACCAAATCCATTATTAAGAGTTTTACTTATTGTTGCCATTTTAGCTATAATTGGTAAATTATGTATAACAAATGACACTTCATTTTTTTGATATTTAACTAAATTTTCAGCATGACCCAATAGACCAAAACCAGTTACATCCGTACATGCATGAGCATTATATTTATGCATAAGTATTCCACCTTAAATAGAATTATTTTATTACAAAATTTACTACACAACTCATTAAAAATGATCGTATTTTGCATTTCATATTTTGATCTCTAAATACGGTTTATTAAAAAATGTACTATAAGATGCAAAATAAAAAACCTTGTTTTAATTGTGTACATTTTGTTTTCAAAATAAGTGAAATTCTATACGAACAATATCAGTTATTGGCTACATGATGAATTTTTTTCTTTTTTTTTTTGTATTTCATCAACGAATTATACATTTTAATTTTATCCTACTGCATAGTATTGAACACATAATCTAGAACATTGAAATCAAGAGGAAAGATAGAATTGGTACTTGATCGTCATAACACCAGACTGGCTCGATCTCTGATCTATGTCATGAATTTTAAATCAAACTGTCATTATAGAGACACATCGGTTAATCATCGAACCTGACAGAAATGATATAGTTAGATGAATAGGTATTCGACTAAAATTAAATCCATTCATTTAACAATTAATCTCAGAAATAAGTCGAAAAACTCTCATAATTAAATCATTTTTATTCATAACAAAATTGTGTGCTCTACTAAGATTAAAATATGCAAATATGATGAACATAGTGACGACATCTAATTCAATTTGCTTTTATACTGTTGTTCTTTGAGTAGAAAGTTGCATATTGAACATTTTCAAAGAACACTTCGAATTTCTCAGACTAATGACATGCGTTAGTCATTAACGTGAGTTCATTCTTTATTAGCGAAAGTTCTTGTATATTAACCGGTTAGTAGAGTTCAGCGGTTCTAAAAAATAGAATCGTTAAGGGTATCTCTATCTTTTTGTTGATTACTGATTCTCAACGAGAGTACAACAAATTCTCATGAAAATTTTACTACAAGTAGATCAACTGAAATGTGGAGAGATACCTCCGAAAAAATTTTTAAACAAAGCTTTACAGGTTTTTCGTAGGATTACATTCGGTCCTTCGTCAAACTTTTTCCGATCGAACTAAAAATTGTATATCTGTCATTTTCCTGAAAAAACTGCGAAAACCTTGTTTAAAATTGTTTCCCTTGAACATATGTCTCTTCATCTTAGATACTCTATCTATGTTAAAAATCTCATGCGGATCTATTGTGCCCTCTTCGAGAACTAAAAATGGAAAAAAACTGAAACTCCCAAAATCTTCATTTTTTTATTCTTGAGATTAAAGATTTCAGTATATATGAAATTGTTCTTCGTAGATACTGAAATATTTAGTGTCTTTAATCTTAAAATTTTCTTTTAAAATAGAGTTCAAATTATCGTATCTATATCACAATATAATAATTTCTGTTTCATGTTCGGAACTGTCGAACTATTTCTTCACATAATGTCAATGATTCCTGACATGATGTTATCTTGTTGATAGATGAAATCATTGTCTCGGACTATTTTTAGATGCTTCTAACCACACCATAATTCTTTTTTCTTTTTGTATACTTAGCCTTTTGCTTAATATATCCATGTTCGTCTGTTTCTTGTCAACATGTTCGAATGACAAGTGTTTTTCATCAATGAAAAGAATTATCTTTTATTGATGTGATAAAAAAAAAGTATGTTTGCAGTATAGAATTTCGCCTATATTGATAGCAAAAGTTACACAATAAAAATAAGCTTTACTTTGAAGATGGTAGTGTTTCAAACTGCATCTTGCAAGTACATTCAGCTTTTTTGAAACATATTTAGTGATTGAAATATGAAATGTAGAATGCGACCATTTACAACGAGTCACTCAGTATACCAATTTTATTTAATCGAGCCATCGAGTTCATAGCACGTTGATATGCTTTTCGAACATCATCTTCAGTAACTACAGATTTAATACGATTCCAACGATCTGGATTTTCAATCCATTGATGAGCATTAACAGCAACCTTAATATAAATAAAGACAACCTTCTATTTTTTTTTTAATTAAAATTAAAAAATCAAAACGAACTTGTGTTCCTAATGGCTTTGTTAATACTAATACATCACCGACAACTGCATTCTCTGGAATGATTATTTCATTTTGCATACATACAGAAGTGGCAACACCACCGACAATTAACCATGGGTTAACAACAGTTTGACCACCTTGGACGGATGTACCTGCTTCTTGAGCACAATCCTATTTAACAAAAGTATACATGAAATTTTTTGTTTTGTCTTAAAAATTTTCTTACTTTAAATCCCTCAAGAATCAATGGCATAATTGTATCACGTTCTTTTTCAGTCATTTTATTACTTGTACTTAATAACATTAACATATTATCTACATCAATAACACCCATTGCATAAATATCACTTAATACATTAGCACATGCAATTTTTCCCTTAATTAATTAAAATAAAATAGTTAAATAAAATATTCATATTGAATATTTACCATCACATATGGATCATCAACAAGTGGATAAAAAAAATCTGTGGATTGTACGA